ATTATTATTATTATTATTATTATTATTATTATTATTATTATTATTATTATTATAATTCGGTGCCTGGATGAATAACTAATACATTATATTTGTCCCGCATGTTGTGTTCAACTTTCACTCAAGCAATTGCTTCTTGGGTTTTTGCTGAGCTTTCTAAAATGGAAACCTGCTTTCCGTATTTCATTCAAATGTAGTCTCTCTTTTTACAGCTTCTTTTCCGGGAGTGGCCAAATGTCCTTTCCCTCTTAGGAGGTTTGATTGCTATCAAGACATTGATAATAACTGCAATAGGGCCCCGTGTTGGATTGACTTTTCAAGAAAGTGTAAGAATAGGATTCTTGTTGTCCCAAGGAGGAGAGTTTGGGTTTGTAGTATTTTCTCTTGCAAACAGGTGAGTTTGGGTTTGCACATGCATGTGATTCTGTGAATGTTATTTCTTGCATGATTGTTCTGTAAGTTTATGTGATCTTTGTCTTTCTTTGTGCTCAGGCTTGGTGTATTACCACTTGAGTTGAACAAACTTCTTATCATTGTTGTCGTTTTGTCAATGGCTTTAACTCCCTTTCTTAATGAAGTTGGAAGGAAAGCTGCTGAATTTATTGATGAGAAGCTCGATGCAAAGGAGGTATGTCTAGAATCCATGTACACCAGATTTATGAATATATATCTCAGTTATCTTTGGCAGTACTGTGTCACAACTCATTGATTGGTTTTGAACGAGATGGATTTGCAGAAAATCAGTGAGATGGTTCAATTTGATGCAACTGAACCAGTTATTATACTTGGTTTTGGACCAATGGGCCAGGTTAGTTTGCAAGTTTAATGTCAACACAGAGTTTAAGTATACTTTCTATATGTATATAATGACCTATCCTGTGGTTCCCATCTGCAGGTTCTTGCCAATTTTTTGTCAACTCCATTGGCTTCTGGATTTGATGTTGACTTTGAAGGATGGCCTTATGTGGCATTTGATCTTGACCCTAGGGTGGTAAAGGTCTGTTAAATCTGAATCTCTTTTTGCATGTCATGTCAAGAGTACTTTTTGGCTTGAGAATACATAAGCTTTATTTTATTCGGTTAGGTTGCCAGGAGTCAAGGTTTTCCTATCTTCTATGGTGATGGATCTCGTCCAGCAGTTCTGCAGTCAGCTGGTATTTCTTCACCAAAAGCTGTAATTATCATGTATGCAGGAAAAGAAAGCACAATTGAATCAGTTCGAAGGATTCGACTTTCTTACCCCGCGGTACTGCTTATATCATTTTATGATAATATTTGGTTTTGTATATTACACGATTATATCTTATTTCTCTTCATTTGCAGGTCAAAAACACAGACAAATAGAAGCATTGAACATTTAAAATTCACAACTTTCTTATTGAACTTTTTGGAATTTTTATTTCTCTTTTGTGGGCCATGAAATTGGTGCCGGTAGTATATTCATATTATCATTTCGCCATAATATGTTTGCTCAAGAACCTTGTTTTGGGATTTTGAATGAATTCAATAATAAGTTTACACTAGTTGCCAGCATCACATGGAGAAATACCTGAATGACATGTGAAGATTGAAATACCTGTCAGGAAACCTTCCCCAGAAAGGCTTCACCATTAACCTCCGGATTTGATCTTCTCTACTTTGTCTTCTAATCAACTTCCGTTTTTTTATTTACAGGTGTGATCTTCAACCTTTCCTTAGGGCTCATTATTTGAAAACAAAAAACATAAACTGCCACATGACCTGTGGTTTAGTTTTAGTGCACTGTTTGTATGGAGGAGGTGAAAGGTTTAAACCTTATGAGTGTACCCCTTACAAAGCAACACTGGCTGCCTTAGAAAAAGGGCCTGAAACCATGACTCTAACTCAGAAAAGTAATAATCATTTGACATGAAATATTTAAAATAATATTGATTGGATATCATATATTATACTGTATAAAATACATCTACAAGTTATATATGATTGCTCTTTTTATGTGCATGAAAGCATACACTAGAAGAAATAGGACTGTACAATCTCTCGTGTTTTGTGTCTTTGCTAAAGTTAGCATGCATAGCATGTGAGTTTTACTACAACCAAACTGGCACAGATGAGCTTTTGTGTTCCAAATATGTTGTTTTCTAATTCGAGGGCTTGGTTTGCATTAAAAAGGCATGTCCCTTGAAGAAGCCTTGGATGTGAAGAAGCCTTGGATGTGCATTTACAGAGCTTATTTTCTTTGTTATACACCATCTTACCTAAGTACTACCATGCTCTGCTAAAGAACATGCTAGTTGCACCTGAGGACCTTCACGGAACTCATGTATTCTGTAACATTTTCACCCTTGTCACAGTTCCTTGCTTGATTTCTACATTTAAAATGTGCAAGTTTGATATGAACAGACCACCACCATTTAGCGGAATTAGATGTCATTTCACATGGGCTTCTGCTTTCTTTCACAAAATCACCACAAAACTGATAATTATCTTTATTAACAGATCCCAATATATGCTAGAGCTCAGGACCTTGGACATCTTTTAGAACTGAAGAAAGCAGGTGCAACAGATGTAATTCTTGAGAATGCAGAGGTATTTTTAAAATGAGTACTTTGGCTCTTTGTCTAATAGTCTTCTTCTTACAGTATCCTTGACAAGACTGACTCCTTTTTGTGGTGGTTTGATTTGAAACCCACAGACTAGTTTACAGCTTGGCTCCAAACTTCTAAGAGGGCTTGGAGTCATGTCTGATGATGTGACCTTCTTGAGTCAGCTCGTGAGAGACTCCATGGAGCTCCAAGCACAAGAGACGCTCTTGAGAAATGATGAGTACAGCATGATGAAGCCTTTGCAGGTACATTTGGTTTGAAATTTTTTCTGGGGAAAATAGTACAGTCCATTGGGCATTGGGGCCATAGTCTCCAAAATTATCACCATCTGATGAAATGATAGACAGTGATCAGAGGCTTCCCACCGAACTGGATTCCAATGTTAGGTCCTACGTTCTCTCCATCACTGTATTTCAGCATATGGGAATGACCCAATCAACTATCACTATCATTATCCATTTCCTCCCTTTTTTTTTAATTAGTTTGGCAACTTGATGGGTGAAATAGTTGAGAATGGAATCAGGTGAGGGTATCCGACGTGGCTGATACTCGGATACCCAATACTGGCAAGTCACGAAGGTCTTCCCAGAACCTTATTCAGCAAGAGACATCTCAAGTTTTAACTTCTGACATTCAAATAAGGCCTGACCAGACAAGCAATGAACCCTCAGTATCAAAATCAGATGACATAGAACTAGAGAAAGGGGTCAAATGGTGTGAATTGGATAATCAAAACAATTTTCCCAATGAAGTTGAAGATGTTGACGGTGAGAAAGATGATCTGAATCAAACTATACCTTGTATGACTTCACTTGATGGTTCTTAGATCACCCGTCTACTATTTCATTGGGATCTATTTTTTGACCTCCACGTGAAATGCTCTACCTTTGCTGATTGAGGGGTCTATTCTTTCGTGTTTTGGATGTCAAACCACGTAAAGGTATGTTGCTTCAGTTGCCTTTTGTGGTTTGAGAGACTTCCTTCTATTTTGTATGAATATGTAAATGTGTACAGTTGGACATAGTGGTACACACTGATTTTACTTGGTAACAAAATGAGTTTGACCCATTCAGATATGACTGCAGGAATTGTTTATAATTTGATGCATGATATTCTTAGCTTTCTTTGATAAAGCAACATCAATTGCACTAAATTGTGTAGAAGTGTAGAAAATTGTTTAATAAAAGGGTCTAAAAACGGTTAGTGGAAGGAGGTTGCAAAAAATTTGAGCCGGCTAGTAGTTCTCTTGCCTTTCCCTAAGTGGGATCTGCATTGCCCAAGGGTTAGAAAGTTATAAAAGAGTCACTCTGATGGCCCCTTAATAAAGAGCTTCCATGGAAGTTCATTAGCCTCAGGAGGGATCCAATGGGAGTAGCTTATGAACTCGTGCGATCTGGGTCATACAATGTCTCCCCAACTTCCATCAAGCTCTGGTGCTGTGTAGGGGCTATGTTCTTTTCAATTGCATGCCCAGATTATGATCATGGCTTGTGGAGTGTATGTGCCTCTCTTTGCTATCAAGAGGCCTTCTGTTTGCCATCAAGCCAAGTGCTCCAAGCGTTGGCGAGTTAAGAAGCTCGCCACAATATAAGACTAACGGGAAAGGGGGGAGAAGCACAATTGGAAGAGCTGGGTTGATCGAAAAACCTTTTCTGAAAAATATTGACTTCTCAAATAGTTACCTCTGATTTTTCTATTTTTTTCATTGTCTATTTGTTTTGTTATTTTCCTCTCAGTTTAAATTTCTTTTTTGTTTTTGTTTTTGTTTTTGTTTTTGCTTTTGCTTTTGCTTTTTTTTTTGTTTGTTTGTTTTGGTGAAAGGACAATTTTAACATAATGGAAAATGACAAAAAAAAAAATCACATTTTTTATGCAATTCACACCTAACCGAACTTTTTCTATCATTTTTTTTCCCAAAACAAACTTTTTATGCAAGTACTCCTCCAATGGAAAAAGTTTATTTTTTAGATAGAAATTTCTTTTTTGTACACAAAGATCATTTTGGCAATATTTGACGTTGACTTTTGGTCCGGCACCTACCGGAGCGCATCATCACATTGTTGGAGCGCATTAAGTGTCAAACCGCCTTAGGACAACTACCAGAGCGCATCATCGCATTGTCGGAGCGCATAAGTGTCGGATCGCCCTAAGACAACTACCAGATCAAAATTGATTACTGTTGGACCGCTTTTTACATCGTACTCGAGTTTTGGAATCCAATAACATCTACTGTTGGAATGCTTTTTACATAGTGCTGGAGTCTTAGAATCCAATAACATCTATCAGACTGCTTTTTACATAGTACTGGAGTCTTAGAATGCAATAACATCTACTATGGGATAGCCTTGTCGGACAGCCTTTTGCAATTGTCGGAGACCGCCCTTTGCAACTGTCAGACCGACTGCCCTTTACATAGTACCCGAGTCTTGGATTCCAATAACATTTACTGTCGGACCGCTTTTTACATAGTACTGGAGTCCTATCATCCAATAACATCTACTATGAGAGCCCTTTGCAATTATCGGAGATTGCCCTTTGAAACTGTCAACCTGCCCTTTACAATTGTAGGAGACTGCTCTTTGCAACTATCAGACCACCTTTTGTAATTACCGGACCACACTTTACACAATGTCGAAGCCCTACTACCGGACAACACTTACACAGTCTTGACGCCCTTATTTTAATGGAATAGAGAACACTACTATCGGACAGCACTTACAGTGCTGAAGCCCCTATTTTAAGGTATAGCGAAGAGAGAACCGTGGATAAGGCAAAAGTAAAGTAGAGTAGTTTAGGCATTTTTTTATTTTTTATTTTGATTAAGGGATATTTGGTATTTTTGGAAAAAAAATAAAAGAAAAAATTACATTTAGGGTAGGTTACATAATAAAAAATGTACTTTTAGGGGTTTTATGTAATTTTTGAAAAGGTACTTTTAGGGGGTTTTATTTAATTTTCCCCTAACATAATCCAATCAATTGAGTACAATGTTTAAAAACTCAGTTAAGTCAACTTAAACTCGACCGAGTTAATCAGTTACATCAAGGCGCTCAGGTGATAAGGGTGTACAATATCGAGGATAGGTATACTTAGGTTGGTACTATACAAACTCTAAAAAGAGTATTGTAGAACTCGTATAGACTTATCTAAATTCTATAATACTTGGGCGAGTCACTACATGAGCATGACTACTGTTACTAAACAAAAATAAAAGGGGACAGAGAAAAATAATTAGTGTGAATCATTTTTGAAGATTCAAAATAATAATAAGAGTGAACATAAATTAAAAGATTTATTAAAGAAAAAGTACAACTTTATACTATTGAAGTAAAACGCTTTTTTAATAAATAAATAAAAAGTACAACTTTACACTAGTAAAGTAAAATGTTCCTCAAAAATCATCTAGAAGAGTATGTTTAGACCATCTGGACCTTGAGATATATGAATATGAATTCAAAAAATATATTAAAAGATTCATACCTTGGCTTTGGATTTGAAATCCATGTTTTTCTTGAGAATCATGATTATCAAGATCAAATTGATTAATCTACAATTTTTCCGCCCATTTTCCAACTAGGTTTGAGGCGTGGCTTTATAGAGTCACGGCTTCCTGGTTGGAAATATTATAATATCATGTGTTGAAAATTGGTCCCCGCAAAGTATAATCCCCAGTAGAAAATATTATATATGATGTGGTAAACATTTTGTCCCCCATGAACAAGCTGTACGAACCAGTGTAATCAAAGGAACTATATGAATAATGTAATCAAGATCCGACCAACCACCAAACCGGTGGGGCATGTGGTCCAATCAAAACCAGTCTAAACAATGATCAAATTGGTTAGACCCGATAATTAAAATAAAAAAGAATAATAACTGTAATAATTTAAAAATATTAAGTATACTAAAAAATTCATCCAATTTTATTTAACTGTTTGAACCGATTAAAACTATAGCACAGTCGAACCAATCAAACATTAATTTTAACTAACCTTTTATCAAACTAAATTTTTACTTCATACCAAATTGGCCAAGACACCTCCAATTTTCAAAACTTCATGGTTTTCCCTCAAATGTTCCACTTTATTGTTTTGGGCTTGATAAAGAAGACCATGAAGAAAACTTAAAAAAGCTAAAAAAAAATATTCCTTTTTGCAACAAACTTGGTGAGCATAAGACGTCCACTGCATGGAAAACTTGATCTAGCATTTAAGACTCAAAATTGATTTTATTAATTATTTTTCTGGTGGTGATGAGGCTATTTACAAAATTTAGGAATTAAACAAATTCACTTAAGCTTCCATCCAATATTTATTTCCCTAAAATAGACTGCTCATACTCTTGTATTCTCTCCTACAAAATTACTTTCCAGTTTTTTATTTCTTCACATTTTCTTTGCCATGTCCAAGAAAATTCTATGCCAAATTTCCAGCAAACAAAGACCACAAAAGATCCCATCACAGGGGGTATAACACACTAAAAAGTCTACCCTTGAGCAGATGAAATATCTTCCCTTGGCTTTTAACTCAGTTCACCACAAGACCATTGGGTGGCATGCATCCCAAGGCGTTGAAAAGTTACCTGCAGTGATCCAGAGAGTGCAATATGGAGGCGGATGGTTTAGCTAAATCAGGAGTTACTGGTGATAGTCTAATAATTGTGGAATTTGGAGTATAGTTGTTACTGTTTTTGTTTTTCATTTTGATCTTTTGCCGTTGTAATAGTTGCATGTGGTATTGTACTTGTTGTAAGGTGCTATTACTGGAAGTAAAAAATTGTTAAAAACTGATTCTCTCAAAAAAAAAAAAAAATTGTTAGCTGCAGTGACTGCAATACGTTTATTATTCAATCTTAATTGGTGACCATTTGTTTTAACAAACTTTGAGAAAACTTTGCCTCTAGAAAGAGATTAAACCCTTTTACATGGAAATGCCATTTCTTCTTCATGGTCCAGCAAAGGATGGTTTGTTAAATCATAGCAATGTTGAAGCCGATATAACAACCGACTGCACAAATTTGCAGAGGGAGATCTCTTATAGACTACCACTTATACCAGAACAACTTGTACAAGAACAAGCCCCAGTGAAGAAGAATAGAAGGCCAAGGTATACAAGCTTGAGTCACAATGAAAATTTTTGACCTTGAAGAAATGCTTTGGATGATTTTATGATTCACCATTATTGCAATCTAGCATAGCCACAGGAAAGTAAAAGCTCTAATTAGTTGCATGAGATTCATTATGAAACAACAGAAGAGGGGGTATCATCCTTGTGCTTAATAATTCCAGAATCTACGAGGAGAGGCACCTCGGCAGCAAGCCAAGGAGCAAGACCCAAGCAAAGGGCATGTGCAATGCCAAACCTCGGACTGCCAAAGAAAGATAAGTTAGTAAAGCAGAAAATAAGAAACAAGAACCTTTTCTGAATAAGAAAAGTACAGGTTAGCAATCACATTCAGGGAGAAATATAAAGCTCATTGATCCATCATAGAATATTCATGCACCCAACAGAAAGCCTAAGAACCAAACTGCCATGATGGTCATATGTCTACCTAGAGGTAACAGTACTGATTGGACAACAGGCAATCAGCCGATATATTGAACCAGTCCCTATGCTAATAAGGATGACCATTCAAAAATGACAAGAATAACCACATTTTCAGGGGTTGACTAGCACAAAGCTTAAATATCTATCAAAAGAGATCAAAGAACTTTATGAACAATGACAATGCTCTGGCAAAACCACAAAAGATAAGCTAACTTTCTATGAAGTATTAAAACTGTTGCTGATAGGCCAGAACAATATGGGGTCCTCTGACGGGAAATGCGGTTTTCAAGGCACTCACAAACCACTTGCCTGCTGCACGTGTTAGTCTCAGTTTCCATTTAGATTTCCATAATAAAGTGTTGCTTTACGAGCAAGCTCAAAACTTGTAAGAAATCTCGCCGAGTTGTGTCAGACATAGGCGAGGTCACTCATAGCAATAAAATAATGGTAAATGTCATTAGGTTTAACCGACAAAGAAATAAAGCAAAAGGTTTTCTTATGTGGTCCCTAAGTACCACCTATAGCAAAATAGTCCATCAGAAGTACTCAAATAAAGTATACGTCTTGAACAGTAGAATAAAAATAAAATTAGCAATCTCCCACCTATTTTAAAACAAAAGGACCCTCTCAAAACATATCAATAAAGAGAATGCACAAGTGAAGGTGTCCTACAGACTTGAACCACCACATAGTGTCATAGATAATACTTACCAAGACAATGCGTAGACGAACCTTGAACCATGTCCATAGATAATACTTACCAACCCTCTCTAAAATTCATTTTCTTCTTCCTTTACACCTTCGTTAATGCCTAATGTTATCAAGACTCTATGATGGATGCCCTAATGAAGTTATGTTGATAACCCCTATGCTCTATGGAGCCTAGTGCACCCATCGTTTTGGTTTATCAAGTCCTTTTCAAGATACAGTTTCATGGTGATTGCTAAAGGCGGCTGTACAGACTTCATAAAGCAGATATGTTTTCAAAATAGTTGTGACAATTGATGGTTGCTTCTTTTTTTTTCAAAATGGTTCTTCAGAAATATTCAAATAAAGTATTTGTTTTGAATCAACAAAATAAATAAAATTAGCAAACACAGACTTGCCAAAGTAACTCAGTTTGCCAGGCGTGTTTTCTCACTGGTTAAAACATGTCTATTTTTCTTTCCACAATTGGCACACAAAGCGGCAGATCTTCATGTGTGACTAAGCAGTCAAAAGGGTCTAAAAGGTCATTTTCGTAGAAGACACTCACTAACATCCTTGAAATCATCTAAAAAATATCCAAAACACATGTAGCATGCATTTTGCAGCAGCATCCGGACAAGCCCTATATTTTTGACAGAAGATAACAAAAGGAATCCAAACTTGAATCACTCGAAGAAAAAAAAAATCAAATGAAGAATTATCTTTCAAAACTAATAGTGAGAATCTTATAGAAGGGATTTTGGTCTCTCTTTTTGTTTTTCTTTCCCTAGAGCACCCGACTCCTAGGTTTTTTGTACTGTTTCATTCTCTCAATTTAAGGTTAGCATTCTCAAAAAAAAAAAAGTGAGAGTCAGCATTTTAGCCCCTCATTGATCAAATCTCTGTGAAATTATTAATTCCTCATAGATTTATTCTGAATTATTATCTATAGGATATGGTTTTTATGAGTCCTAGGACTCATGTAAATAAGGGGCCCCTCTTCATGATCCATTTTTTAGATGGATTTTCGACCTAATTTTTTAGATATATATAATCTCTAGTATGGAGAACATGAATGTGCAAAAGAATAAATGAATTTTAAAAATAAAAATGATCATTTTTTGAAGAAAAATTTCAAATCGTTGATTTTACCCTTTTTTTTGTAGAGACCACACCACATCCGTCCTTAAAATGAATGTGGGATGCATGGGGGATGCAAATGTACTTATGTGTTCCCTGACACATAAAACACTTCACCTTATCTATAATATTCTCTCGAGCGAACATGGAGTAAAATCCTATGAACCACTGAAAGATCCAAGTGCCCCTTGCAATGAAAAACTTAAATTAGGAGAAACCTCAACTGCATTCGATCTCACTTACCAGTTTTTAGCCCACAGGGGTTTGAAATGCACGGTAAGGCAGATCTTCCCTCCTCTATACATCTAAACCAAACCACAAAACAGATCATCAGAAGAGACAAATAATACAAAATCACCCAAAACAAATAACAGGGAATACAATCAGGAAAGCATGCATTTTAGGATATGATATCTAAAACTAAAAGAAAATAAAAGTTGAAAAACAACCTTAACTTGAGCCAAATATCTCCAATATTATTACCCCTTCACTTCCCAACAAAATGAACAGATAAATAAATATATTAAAGAATGACATCCAACCAATCCATAGCACAGTTCATCAACAATGATCCCAAAGATAAGATTATGTCTAAATATTTGAATTGGCTAAAGCCAGCTTCTATCCCTAAGCTCATTTTTGTTGGATAATGCTTCATTCAATGACTCATGACATGCTAAGAAAGAACCCACAGAATAAAATAAACGATCCCCAGATTCTCTCTGAGACAACTTTTTTCTTTTACATTCTATTTTTTTTAATTGTACCTTTTCTACGACTTTTATTTCTCCAACTATGTTTCTCTCTCTTTTTCCGGCGTTTTCATGTAGTTTATGCATGTTTGAAAAATGGAAAATGGTTTGATAGGGCTGCAACCCTATCAAAATAAGTAAAGCCTCACATCATAATTCATCAAAAATTACAATTCAAGCATTGGAAAACCTTTATATCGATCATCTCAGCTTGAATATATTAGTAGTGAAAAAAATTAGGATTTTATGCTCTAAAAATTGTGTATATTGTAACAAATTATCTAGACCAACCATTTCACCCTAAAATAAATGTTCATAGATCCGCAAGATCTGTACCATTTTTTTAGTTTCAAATTTTATTGTCGGTATTGGAAATTGATTTAGATCCATCATGGAGATTTCCGTTGCCAAAAGTGCTTTCTAGATGAGGATTTGAGGTGAGCCTTTATTTTGTTGTCATAAAGCCTAGACGTAATAGAAACTTCATCCTTGAGAAATAGCCTATGTTTTTATCTCTTCCATAACCTCACTCAAGTAAGCTCAAAGATAAAACAGTTCAGCTCAGCAATTCGACCGATATGCCTGCAGCTAAGGGACTCAATCTAACCTATATTTTCTACCATGCATGGGTTCTTAAAGTGTTCAATTGGTGGGTGTTTAATTTTTTTCTTCAGCTATCGTGCCAAGTGTCCTATTGAACCACAGATTGTGACAAACAAGTAATTGTAGCAGTAACAGCTGTCATCTATTTCTTGTACTCTAGAGCTCCTATCAATGGAAAAGAAAGAAAATAAGCAAGGCATAAACAAAACTTAAATAGCGCCTCTACACTTACACAGTACAAATGCAAATATCAATACGTAACTTACTGCGAATATATGAATGCAAAAACCATGTCAAAGTATTAGGTAGACAAATCAGTTGGTACTTGGTTTCACTTGAACATGACGTTCACAAACAAATTAGTTATCCCCATGTGTAATTGTTCTTCCGTGAAATATCAGATCAAATGACAGGCCAATAACACTCTAATAATGTCCAGGCAGTAATGAAACACAAACCATGCAGGTCAGCTCACTTATAAACAATCTTACCGAGTGGACTCCAGTGTGTTACTAGTTACCCATCTAACTCACCTCTCGGCCAAGGCCAAACAAGGTACCCTTTTCCTACTGTACTAGGATAGTAAGCAAAAGATCTATAAAGCCCGATTATGGATAAATGATCATTTAGTCATTCAATAGAACCAAAACATATGAGCACACAACAGTCCATCACAACGGATGCCATTACGGTGCCTCCATATGCTTTTTATTCGTCATGAATGACATTGACACAGAATGAATTTGTTATATCACGCATATGAAAGATAAATACGTTAAAAATCAGAATATGAATCCCCTACAATATTTTACTAAGGTTTTAAAAAGTGGATCACTGGCCCGGATCATCCATTCGAAAAACCAGTCCGGATAAGCGGCACGGCAGTTTGGATCCGAGAATCGGCCAGATCCGTCCTTAAAAAAATTTCAAAAACACTAAAAATATTTTAAAGTATTGTTTTTTGAGTTTCCAAAAAACGGGGCTAGTGCATTATGTATTTTTATTATTTTGCAAAAATGCGTAAATATTGAGACATCATTTCTCTATTTGAATGTCAGTTGACAACATTCACATCACTGGATAAAAGGTGCATGCAATCATCATGGAAATGAATACATGGTCCAAAATAGAGCATACAACTATTGAAATACAACATAATACCAAAATGAAAGACAATGTCGTTCTTCCTCTTCATCGCGGTGTTGCTAGTCGTTGAATTGTCTTCGACAATTCACTGATTCAATCTATGTGTGCTCAGAATCATCGGTGCCAAAACTGACAATGCTTAGGTCCCCCACAGTTGGTGAACTACTACTCTTCTAGCCTAAAATCCCCAAAGCTTGTCCACCCCTCATGTTGGCCCCAACCCTTTTGTTGCTGGATCTCATGTTATGTAAATCCTAGTTGGGATAAGGTGGCCTCATAATCCATTCTATTTCATTCCCTCCAATGAAATGCACATGTCGGCGGGGGATCTCCCCCTCCCTGCTCCTCAACATCCTTTCCTTCCCATTCCTCACCGATTGCCTCAAGGAATGCTTTCTTGTAAAGTATTGGATCCTCTTCCTCCACCACCTACTGCTTGGCTATGTCTGCGATAAATATAGCATTTAGGTTGATCGGGTTGTAGTCCTCAATCTTCCTCCTTATTTGTCACAGTCGGAGCTTCGAATTATAATGAACTAGGTTATATGTATCCCAAGATTCTGAGGCCACCCTATCCCAACTAGGATATATGTATCCCAAGATCTAGCAAAAAAAAGGTGCGGAAAAGTGAGATGATGGGGGCTAGTACAAGTGGTGGACAAGCCTTGGGGATTTCAGTTTAAAAAAACAGCAATTCAGCAACCGTGGGGTACTTAGCATAGTCAATTTGGCACCGATGATTCCGAGGCGTACATGGATCGAATCATTCCATTATTAAGGCAATTCAACGACTGGCAACAATGCAATAAAGAGGAAAAATGATTTCATCATTCATTTTGATATTAGGTTGTATGTCAATAGTTGCATGCTCCATTTTGGACCACATATTCATAGCCATGATGAATGTATGCTTCTTTTTTCCAGATGAGAGTGTAATGGTCAATAGACATTCAAACAGTGAAATATCATCTCAATATTCACATATTTTTGCAAAATAAGGAAAGTACATGATGCACTACCCCTTTTTTTTTGGAAACTCAAAAAATAATATTCTTAAGGATTTTTAGTATTTTTTAAATTGTTTTAAGGCATATCCGGTTGATCCAGCCGATTCTTCGATCCGGATCGAGATCCATACCTATTTTCCAGATGGATGATTCATCGATCCATTTTTTAAAACCTTGCTTCCAGCCGAGTATGACAAAGTAACTAGAAGAGGCATGCACAAGTGAATGTGAGATAATCCCCAAGGGCAAGAGGACTTCCATGGAGCCCCTACAATAACGTTTTTTGGAATCTCTTGTTGCCAGTAGACATTCTACTCAATTTATTCCCTCAAGAATCGCATTTGCTTTGGCTCAAGAAGAATCTAGAACCAAGATGCCTTGAAAAACTTGAGTGACTCCTTGTGAAGTTTTAAAGATACCATGTAACCATAATTGTGGAGGTTACCAAGGGATCACCCATCTGCATTAAATTTGATGACACATGAGCTTGAGGGTATCCAAGAGGTAGATCTAGATTCTCAGGGGCTTGAAAGTGAGAATGTTGGTCCAATTGGGTTTGAAATATAGGTTGAGAGAAGTTTGATGGCTTTGAAATTTCTTGCCCGAGAGATAGTGAGATCTTTTGTGTATGCAGGCAATGGAATTTGTTGTCCTCTTAGTACCTCGAAAGATTCTGGAGTTTTTTCTCCCCATATGGCCCAAAGACTGGCAAGAATCGAAGCCCTCCATGCACAAGTCCTATTGTAGGATGAGGGTGAGTAGAAGGCTGTGAATAACTATTTGATTGAGTAGGTGGTTGTGAGTTTCTTCAGATTCTTTGCAGAGAATAACAATTTGCAAGGCTAAAACCTCTTCTAATTAATTGATGCAAGGAAGATGGAGGAAAGAAATAATTAAAATAAAAATAATAATAAAGGGTGAGAGAATATACCCTCTCTCTTGATCTGCAAGGGAGTCCACCCCAAAAATATCTTTTCACAAGATCAACTCTTTACTCAATTTCAATCTCTCTGTTACTAAGAAGGGTCATCTCCCCTTTGAATATACTTAGAAGAAATAAATAAACCCTCAAAAATAATCTCTCTCTCTCTCT